GCTTTTTCTTTCTTGATTTTTCTTTTTCTTTCTTAATTTATGCTAAGAAAACGATAACGCATTTTAGTAAAACATTTATTCATCAAACCATCATGGATTGTTTAAACGCTTTACGTTGTTTATGTATCAATAGTTCGTGGCCGATTTTGGTAATATTTACTATAAGTTACCAATCGTCTATAGTACTTCATTTCATATAGTATGCCGTCACTTCGGGTCATCATCGGTCCAAGCAAATATACATTGTTATGATGAAATTTTATGACATTAACAAATATTTCAGATACTAATTTTACAAGTACTTTGTTATGCTTAAAGCGTAGCAAATTCCCTAATTAAGTTCTGTATTTTTGTGTGTATGTATGTTAGAAACGCATTAATGTTCTTATTTCTCAGTGTTTCACGGAAAGGACAAAAGTATCTTTATAATGAAAATGTCAACACGAATAAAGTGTTAAATTGGGAGGTTGAGGTAGTGCCTTAAATACTTTTAACCATTGTGGAAGGTAACTTTCAATTATAGGCCTACATTAGGGCTATGCCTCATAGATCTATCTATAAAGCATGTTTTAGTTTAATCATTGGATTTAACATATGGACCAACACGACCCAGGCTACATTTAATTTCGAAGCATTTGTTTTGGCTTGAAACTGTCAGATACTGTATTTGCGAAGGTTTATATATAAAAGTATTGCCAGCATATCTGAAAATATGCAAACCAAATTCTGTTCTTAATAAAAAGGTTTCAATAACTGACTACAATAAGATCCCCGTGCGTAGAACGGGCACACAGCTAGTGACTTACTAAAAGAAACTAGGTACTTGTAAAAACTGGTTGACTCTGAACAGAAAACCTACTTTCAGTAGGTACACAGGATAGTTGGATGAAATACAGTAGTACTTTTCATTAATAGTCTCGAAAGTGACTTATTGTGGGGAGAGATTGCATTGGAAAAAATTATCGAGCCCCGTAATGGCACTTTTGAGACGAGTATTGAACATTATTTTTCATTACAATATCGAAAAACTTGTAAACAATATGAATATTTTTGTTTATTCAACTTAGGATCAAGAAAAAACCGAACTAATAACGCTGAGTTTCTGTACTTATGTCGAGGTACATACGTACCGAAACTCAGCGTTATGAGTGATTAACAATGCAACAGCTGATCAGTCTGCACCACAAAATCCCATAACAGTTACTTTTCAGTGCACCACAAATCCACAGAAAGTTAACGTTATGTAATTTTTCCTTGCAGTAGCGGGAATAACCTATTTTCTTAGCTAATTTTACGTTTAGAAAGTGTATTTTCGTGTATAGAAAAATGAAAAATATTTAATTAATAATAAACTTAAATTCCTAATGTTTGAATTACAGGCAAAGATTTCACAAAACAAATTTCTTATATAGGAGTAATACCTAACCTATTCAATTACACATTTGATTTTTTAAATTTAATTTAATAGTTTAAAAGATGCATTCTAGCAGGACTATCAACTAACTTAAAATACTTAAGAATGCTAAATGAGAATGATATGTCTCTGAAAAGTATTTTCATTAATTAAAATATAATGGGTAATAGTAGGTGAAATATATTTAGTTTTTTATAGAGGGTATTAAAATTATATGCCTATACAATGAGATTTGATATCACTATGTAACATTTAAAGTTCATTAACAAGGACCTTTTTTCAATGAGAGTTTTCCTCTTTTACCACTCATTTGTTAAACTTCAGTTATTGTTGTAGTGAATATAAGAAACATTGTGTGTAGAATATTCAATTATTAAACTGTTTTCTCAAATCTGTGTGGAGAAGTAGTGCTAAAACTGGTACTGAAAACATATACCCTACTAAAATTGATTTAATATTATAAATACAACATGTTTCTTCTGGCAAAATAAATATTTTGTAACTTTCTGTGAACTTCATAGATAAGATGGTAACCGTCACAAAAAAAAAGAAATACAGTAAAGTCTCAATTATCCAATCTAAACGGGGCCTGGCTTAGCAGTAACATGGAAAATAATAAAAAACCTATAGTAAAGATATTAAAATCATTAAAATAATCATTTTCAAATACTAGGTTTTAAGTTGGATTTCACCTGTTTACTTATGAATAGTCGTACTCTACAGAAAATAGTAACAATTTGTTGTACTCAATCATTATTCTGTTAACTTTCCAGAGAATCAGAATCAGAATAATTTATTTGTCATTGGACATTACAAAAATGCATGGACAATAATTGTCATGTTATAGCATGGCAGTCAGGCTAGACATTACAGATAACATCTATAATATGTTCATGAGGTGTTAGCTCTGTGGATTACCTAACAGTATGGCATGTGATTTAACAATCAATTTGTTGTTATTATATAAATAAACATGATAATTTAACAAAGAATAAATTATAGGAACCACAGACAATAACATAATACTGATAACAGAAATTAAGATAAAAATTAACAATTGCAAGTTGATGGTCAGTTAAAATATAAAAAACAATTGACTAGGCTCTGCTAACAATAGATAAACTAGGCACTGATAATGAGTCTAAAACTTCGGCAATTGAAAAAAAGTATAAATTTTTTTTACAATCGAGACTGTAATTTACGTTAGTTTAAAAACTTGCTGGTTACAATCTAAACCCTAGAATCATAAACATTCTTTCTTCACTTTTCCTTTTGTTTCTAAAGGTCATTTCTCTTCTTTCCTTTTTTGGTATACATTATCATGGCCATAGAAAGGGGGTAGCGGATTTCTACCCCCACGAGGGGCGGGGCCTATACACGGTCGAGAAACAGCCCGGGACTGGAAATTTACCCCCAATATATTATTAAATAATCAACATGTTATTGTTTGATTATAAAGTGATTTGCCATAGCACGGAAATCTACCCCCGGACATCTACCCCCAGAAATCTACCCCCAGACATCTACCCCCGGACATCTACCCCCAGTGGTTAAATCATAAATATCTGGCCCCGGAATTCTACCCTCGGAAATCAACGGCTCTTCGGTTAATCATTGTCTTGCAATATCCAGTATAAAACATGCGATATGTCATTGTCTTGTTTAACATTATCTATATTCCTAATTCAATAAGTTGTAACAGTCCTTTTTCACCCGACCTACTTTGCCGATTGTTACGATTGAGTTGTCATTTTAAAGCTTAAGATCTTGCGCAGAGCAAAATGGTAAATAATTAAAAAGGATATTTTGATTATTGCTTCAAAAGGTTGACCCCTAAGCCTTTCATGTTAATTTTCTATTAGAAAGACGTTAAAAAAGCGATAAAAACTATCTTTTTGATTAAGAATCCATTATTTTTAATTTTTATATTTTTCATCTTTCACAGCTGTTTGTTATTTCATAGATGTCGTATTCTCCAAACAAATTATTAGTATTTCATAAATTACTAGTAAACATTACGAGTAAACTTGACAAAAATGCAAACAATTGGGGGTTTGAACAAAATTTATTTTAATTCAAAAGTAGTGAGGCCATATTTTTATGGCTTAAGACACTCGTGTCAATCCACCGAATCCAATTAAAAAGATTATTTAAATCGAATCACGATCGATGCTCTAGTTTTTTAGGAGAAGGCCACGTAAAATGCCTCCTGGGCCTTGACAGACAAAGCAGAAATTGAGATAAAGACTTGTTTTGGCTTCTTTAATGTATGAAACGTAAAAATGACCAGAAAATATATAATTTTGAGCAATGTTCATACTAAACTCTAATTTCATTTAAATAAATTCGTAAACCAAAAAGAGCCATGAGGTAATAATACCTTCCCTATCCCGAAATATCCAATTTTATTCTTTTACATTATTCTCCGTTATTTCACAACCAGCATTGACAACCAGAACCAATCATAAAATATGTTTATGTTTTATTTTTTACGATTAATTATTTGTGTAAACAACTAGACTTTTTGGCCAATGTAAAACTCCGGATAGTGTCTACTACATAGGGATTATGCTATTTCGTATTACTAGAAGGTAATTGATAGTAAAAAAAAATTATTAATTCATTAATCAACCTGTGGCAGGCTTTTTATCAACATTTAATTGCATTTTTTACCACTAGTAATCAGAAAATAACCTCCTTCAGTGATAGGTTTTAAATTTCACGATCTGCACTCGTACATGTGCCGTTAGCTATTAGTGTATGTGAAAATTTGTCAACCATTTAAATCACTGTCTGAAAATAAATCAAATGCTTATGGGTTAAACTTTTGAAGCCCTTTATCAAAATATCCTTTTTAATTACCATTTGCGTTGCACTGAATCTTGAGCTTAAAAATGACACCTAAATCAGTTACAGCTTAATGAATTGGGAAGATTAAACAATACAACGACCTATCACATGCTTAATACTAGATATTAGAGTGTAATTATTAAACGAAGAGTCATTGATTATTTTTATAAACCAATTACTAAAATCAACTACAACAATGAATATTGGCCGATACGTAGTGTAGCACGGGGGGTAGATTTCCGGGGGTAGAATTCCGGGGTCGGACATATATGATTTGACCACTGGGGGTACATTTCTGGGGGTAGATGTCCGGGGGTAGATGTCCGGGGGTAGATGTCCGGGGGTAGATGTCTGGGGGTAGATTTCCAGGGGGAAAGTTCCGGTGTCAGGTTTATTAGCATTTTGATTAATTTCAACTGTTAAGTAAACCGTGAAATGCGAGTTGATTGAATAAATAATACTTTATCCATCCTAAAAGTTCACAGCCGGAAATCTACCCCCATACATGTGACGTCAAAGTGACGTAGGCGTTTTTTCATGGGGGTAAATATCCGGGGGTAGAAATCCGGCGACCCATAGAAAGAATTTTGTCATGGATTATAAATAATAACTTGCATATTTTTTTATTACTTTCAATTTTTTATTGTTCAGAGAAGGTGACCAAACTGTGGTATGAATTTTGAGCTAGTTAATACAATTTAGTTTTAGGTAACAGCTTTCAGTATCTAACAAAAAATAACATTTTACTCCAAAATGTTTTATTAAACAAATAAATCTACAATATTTTACTTAAAATACATTAAAATATTTCATATTTTTTTAGTACTACTAAGCTATATAATGACACAATAAATCGATTTAGTTCAAGCTTTGTTGTTAAAAAGAGTTCTTACCCATCTTAGTTAACAATATGCATTTCATCCTAATAATGTAATAATATGTTTGTCATATTATGATTTATAAAACAAAACACAAATTAAACATATTCATTATGAAGTATTAGATCATTTTATGGTAGTTCTTTGAAAAATGGAAAAACAGTTTAATCATTAAATTTTTAATTGATGAACATCATAAATGACAAAATATTTATCAACTTATGCCAAAACAGTCAGTGATAAAATGCAAAGCCACATTGTCATAATATTGGTTAAGTTATAAAGAACTCTTCAGAAAGAATCTTTGGGTGCTGTCAACTCAACTCTAAAGATTGCCAGAACTTTGTTTTAGCAGCCTAAATTACAAATTCTTTATAGATTGAACATTTTTAGTTATACTTAAGTAAAATAACTTTTACATTTATAGAAATGCACTTATTTAAGGGAACATTTTTTACTATTTCATTCGTTCAAAAATTATTAGTTCGGCCGCTTAGAAAGCGACCTCCTCCAGCATTGGTTTAGCATTAGCGAGCAGGTCGTTTTCTAAGCGGCCGAACTTTAGTAGGATGTGGCGAAGGATTAACTTTTAAGCCTGTAATAGCAACCAATCTCATGTTGTTGGTTAAAGAAGTAGATGATACACAAAACCCAAAAGTAGTAGTTTATTAATGAAGAAAATTCATTAAAATATTTTTCATCCCAATATTGCAGTTCCTACATGTAATTAATATTATTCATGTATTTTAAAACGTTTTTTAATTGATCATTTAGTGTTATTTTTTAAATAAGTTCAACCACTAAATATAATTGTAATGAAATAGTAATCAGTTTTTTTTTGACAAATCGAGTTTTTTCTTACAACTACAAAATCCCTGGATAAAATGTTGTTATTTTAGAATAATATTCCTCTTAAAAATACTCCAAGAGTTGACAGTGTGGACGGATTTTCTTAATTAAATTTCCTATTATACAAGTTACACTCATAACTACAATCCAGCCTATGTACATTTATATGCTGTCAACATTAAAAATAGTCGCTATGTATGCTGATAAAATAATACCTAGGTTTATAATCTACATTACTGCACAACATGGTAAAACGGAAATAGAAATACATGATTAAAAATTGAAACTTTTAAATTGATGATTGGAAATTATAAGAATTGTGTCTTGGAATGGACACACAATAAGTTATAAGATGATGTAAGCAAAACCAAAGTTGGAGGATGGGGTGCTCGTAGGACCTAGGTGGAACTAAGGGTCTCAGTTTGTGTGTAATGTGGCGATCGCTAGCGAGATGAACAGCATCAGCGAGATCCAGGCGTTGGTTTTGTGTCCACCTGTAACAAGGTGTTTAAAATATAAATACATCACTGATTGGTTACCGCTCCTACAATTTCAGGTACTCAAGGAACATGTTACATACGTCATATCTAGGCTAAATCCGTATTTTATCAATAAAAAACATTGTTTAAAATTAAAAGGCAGTCTCCATTAACTTATAATCAGTGTTAGAAATATCCATTCATGATTTGTTTGTCCTGAAAATGTAAACGTTTATAGCTTCAGTCAACACAACCACTAGTCCTTTGTCACTGCAGATGTCAGACCCTTGCCAGTTAAGAAACATTTTAAGAAATAAAGTACTTTTCCAAGATATATCTTCTAAAAAAAATTCAATAAATTTTATTCTTGAAAAAAATACATGCCATAATCTTAAATCATATACAGTATGAATAACTTGACATTTCAAAGCTTTCATCCAATTCCAAACTAACCTCCTCCTAAATGATATGATCAAACAAGTAGTTTTTTTTCTTTTTTTAAAGAAATAAGTCAAATGAATGGTATCAGCAAAGTTACTCGTAGGTACTTTCTTACATTAGCCTGTCAAACACCCTTACAATAAGTAAGCTGTGCTCATGATATTGTATGGGGAGAATCACAAAAATTGCAACTAACTAAAATTAAACGGTATTTTTTACAACATTGTGGGATGGTCAATTTTGTTAAAAATGAAAAGAACCGTATCATACAAAATTAAAATCAAAATCGCCATTTTTGTGAAGATCCGAGTTTTCGTTATTCTATGGCATTTTATGGAAAATCACCATTGCAAATCTATATTTAAAAATGCCAGAAGATACCGTGGATGTCCCACACACCAAATTTCATCAAAATCGGACCACAGATAAAGTATGTAGCTGTGTACACATCCACACAGACAGGAGCGCACACAGTCAATTCGAAAACCACTTTCTTTGGGTTCACGGAGACCCAAAATGGAGATTTCCGCTCAAAATTTAAACTAGGAAATTGTGACGAAAACAATACTTTCTCCGCATTAAAACCATTCAATTAGTATTGATTAAAACCATAAATATATTTTAATCAGAATTTTATTGTGGACGACACCAAGTGGACATCATTTTTAGTCCAAAACATCGGCATGCATACCTCCATTGTCTGGGCAAAGCTTGACTCAAGTTCTTTAGCTAATTCGTTTGAGCATTTCTGGGGTGACTCGTGCAAAAGAAACTCTCTACTCTCTACTGGGTGTCGCCGCGGATTCCGTCTCCCGAGCGCCGCGTCTCTCCAGGGGCCCTATTTTTGAAATGGTTGACTGTTGAGTCAATCGTCAGCACTCAACTCAACCAACAACATGATTTGGTATTTTTGAAACCCAACAGTTGGGAAGCGAGTTGGGAATCACTAGTTGAGAGACTCGTGGTGGAAATGTAGAGCATACGACCGTCAAAAATTCAGATGACGTCATTTTGAACCAATCACAATGCAGAGTTCTTGCGGACTTCGATTTAACCTCTTCTTACTCTAAAATCTGGCAGCTAATCTCAATCTGCCATATTTCGAGACACTGAGGTAAACTGTCAACTCCGTTCTTGAGAGATTGAGGTTATAATGGGTTATGTCTTGCTTAATTTAATCTTAGTGATTGCAAAGTACCTTAACTTATATAGGCTAAACTTAAGTATTAAAAATAAAATTTACTATGGATGTTTGTTTTAGGGTGTAGCTAATTATAAGTTTAGGCATAGGCTGCACTTTACTTTAGGTCCTACACTCATCCTAAATACATTATTAATTGCTTTCTTCGTCTCTATTTCGGAACACATCACCTTATTTTAGTTTCCTTCATCGGTTTGTTTTATGTTATTTTTAATTGTTTTTTATTTAGGTTAAAGCGGCTATTTGCCATTGCACTGGAAGCATATCGTAACTTAAATTAATTTGATCCCTTTATTAGGTGAATGGTATTGAAACAAACTATGATATTGTTTCTCTCTACCACAATCTTTAATACCTTAAATCATAGGTCTAATAACAATAATTATCTTATAATAAGTTCAATTAGTATGCCTAGTCTATTTCAAACATTCCAACAAGATTAAAACCCTTGATTAAATAGTCTAGTATTGACACAGTAAATAAAATTAAAATGCGATTATTCTACAGAAAACAATCGCATAATTGGGTGCTAATACATTGACAACAAATACATAACCTCTAAATCGCAATTAGTAAATTAAAGCAATAACAAAACAATATGGCGTCGTCTCAAAAAGAGTAATTTTTTGCCGAAAGAGAGGAAGAAGAAAGTGCAGTCAACCTCCACTCAACAGCTCGATAGGTGTTGAGTAGTTTTGGTTGTATAAGTCCACCGTCAACCGTTTCAAAAATACGAAACGATTGGAAATAGAATGACTCGACACTCAACTCAACAGTCAACCATTTCAAAAATAGGGCCCCAGCGCCGAACGGGTTACCTGGCATAATCTGACAGTTTTGACAGTCGAATTGGAATTCACAAAAGCAACGGACCGCAGTGAATTTGTGTGCCCAATTGAGCATTGTAGGCGGGTAGGCCTAGATCAGCAGTCAATATTTAATTTATACTAGAATGATTTGGTTTAACTACAGACAATAGACCATTATTTTTTGTCTTTGGGTATACTTTGTCTATGGTTTAACATTACAAATCAAGTCCAGTAATATAAAACCCCCGCCGCAGCAAACCTGCCGACTAAGCGAATTTCCATTTGTCTGAATTGATTTTCAGTCAAATATATTTTAATAACATTAGGTTTAACGAGTAGTAGCTAGGTTTGCTGTTACAAGGAAACTAATAAAGTGTGTTTTTGAGTAAAATATTGATAGCTTAGTACAAAATAAATAAATTTGCCAAGTTTGATCAAAATATATCCATAAACAAGCGAACTACAACATTTGACGATATTCTCCATAAGAATAACATGGGAATTTTAAATTTACAATTTTTTTTGTTTTCTCCGTCACTAATAACCGAACAAAAATACTTTTATATACTAATTTTTTTTTGAAGCTCTTTAAAAGGGTCTAAAGAGAAATTGGGAAATTTTGTGTTTTGAGGGTCAAAAGTGAGAAAAACCAATTTTTACCCCATAAAACCCCCCATAAAACCTTGTTCCCATGGTCCGATCGTGCTGGTTCGCGAACTCATTCAAGTTTATCCCCCTTTACACCTTTAAACCAAATTTCATCAAAATCGGACAAAAATTATTCAAGTTATCGCGTTCACGGACGTATATATATATATATAAGTCTATATATATATATATATATATATAAGTCTATATATGTATACATATATACAAATTTGAACGAATGGTGTTTTTGGCCTCTGGGGACATCAAAATGAAAAAGTAAATCGGTCCCGGGTCTAGGCGGAGCACATGAAAAGAGCCCGAAATTTTAATCCCAAAAAAGGTTCACTAATCAAGCATGGAAAGAGCCCGGGTCTCCACAGGTACCTGAGGAGGAGGACGCTGACTCGTGTTCTGAAATAGTGTTGTGTTTGGTTGGGTTAGGTTAGGTTAGGTTACGTTAGGTTACGTTACGTTAGGTTACGTTACGTTAGGTTAGGTAAACAGACTATATCTTTTAGTAATGTAAATATCTTTTAATAATCTATATTTTATCAAGCAACAGCTGTGGAGAAGGTATAATATGATGAAAATAGAAATGAATAATATCAAAACTATGTCCGTGCACCAATGAAACTGTTCTCAGACCTAGCGAAATTTTATTTTGAGTTTAATGAAATTATTATGATAAATATTGACTGATTCACAGATTAAACTCATTGTAAACGGCATAAGAAAACATATTAACCCTCGTCACTTCTACATCACTGAGTAGACCCTTTGGTAATTTATGGCTTCGGCGCTCGGGATACTCTTTTGCTTTCGGCGTCCATAGTAAAAAACCCAATAAGCCCATAGTAAAAGTAAAAACCCATGGTGCTATAATAACTCCTGCTACTTTTTACATCATAAACTCAAAACAAATTACCCCGCTTGCTTTTTGTAGCAGTTCTAAAAGTGTACCTAACTGCACTTGTCATTTAAAAATCAATTGGAGTGAAACAGTCAAACAAGGCAATCAGCTGATTGTTGGGCCAGTTTACGTCCGGATGTCGGTGTAATGGTGGCGGCCATGGGACTCGCAATTGCGGCGACTCGCGTGAAAGGTTACCTTATCCCGGGGTTGGCATTACTGGGGTAAAGACAGAGGCAGCCACGTGACTGATTACAACCTCTCCCCTGATATCGCGTGATATCTGACTACCAAGATCTCGCTCTCTTCTTCCACCTTCTTCATTTTGTTTGAACACCGAAGGTTAATTTGTATCGCCTCTGTCTCTGTTAGGTAATAAGCAAATCGGCAATTTAATACCTTGGTGTGTTTTCGTGATGGAAAGGTCCTACAGAAATACGTAACTTTTCAGACAGTCCTTGACATTTGTTGAGTGTTTAGGTTGATGTTTAGTACGATTTGCTATAAATATGTTTCGACGGTTTTTACACCTCCGCCATTCATCGTTAAGGTCGATTCACACACATCAGTTACGGCACGTTACAGTCCAGTCACTTTAAGCACGTCACAGTTATCAAAAATATTCTTTAATGGATTTTCTATAGCGCTATCTACACTCACCCGTTGCAGTTCCGTCAGTAGCTCTGCAGGCGTCCGTCAGTCAGTTTCAGATTTCTTTTCACCGATATTTTTGGATTGTTCGGAAGCCTGACGGACGTGTTTGAGGTTAGAAAATAATAATTGTTTATTTAAATAATCGATTTTATATTTTAAGTAATGCTTGTAACAATTAACAAGACGAACGATGAAAATTTTATAGAACGTTGTGTTTTAATTAAACATTTTATACTTTAACAACACTGTAAATAAGTGATGGAAGAGTGACTGCAACCAAATGACTGACAGTTTTACTTAGAAGAGGCGGATGCAACTGTGACTGGACTGTAACTGGATTGTAACGGAACTGTGACTGGACTGATATGTGTGAATCGACCTTTAGGCAAACCAAAGAATCCACTGATCAATGGGTCGTCTGAATAAGTTAAACATAGTTAACCCACAACAAACAATCATCCACAAAATAGGTCTTTTTACCAAAACTGAACTGCGTATAACTTATTCAGACGCCATGCTAGAAGTGAATCCTATGTAGACTGGCCATGGCGGAGCGCAATCGGGAACTATAAAAAAATTATAATTCTACAAAAGGCATAGGAGTAATGATTATATTAACAGTTTTACTGTAAGGCCTGCACAAGATACGAAGGTAGTTTGTTTCGAGAGTTCGTTCGTAGGTCTGTTAACTTCAGACCAAGTATATTGTACAGGGTGGGGCAATGAAAGCACCCCAATCTATAAGTAGTACAAACTCAAAAATATATTCACCCTATGGATATAAATTGCGCATCAAAACACAGCTCATCTTTTGCCATTTAACCTAAACAAAGTCATTTTTCCATTTCTTGAGAAAGAAATCCTGCAAGTGACGTTCTTGTCCTACTTGACATTCCTTTTTCATTTGAAAACTCCATAAAATACTCCTCTAGCATTTCTTCAGGAATCACTTAAGTTTTTGGACAATTCCTAGCTTCGGTTCAAGCAAATCTGTGGGGCGATTTTGGAAAATCTCTAACTTCAAGTAGCTTATTAGAACAACCCCCCCCCCTTCCAAAAAAATGAGCCAACGTAAAGCTTTCAACAACAAAAGCTTCCTGGGAAATCTCTTTGGACTTTCAGTTACTGCGACTCGCACTCTTTCAACATTTGCTGGTGTACAAAGAGTTTTGCGGAACCTATCGATTATTTCTTAGGTTTAAGCGTTTATCTTAAATAACGTTACCCAGTTCACCACTGTTTTCCAATCTGGAACAGTGCCATGTTGACCAAGGATGGAATGTGGTCCAAACAATATCTGGGTTTTTGCACAAGAATCACTATTTTAAAAATAGGTTTAGACATCAAAATCTCAGTGTTAATAGCCTCAGAAATAATATTTACTAAAATGGCATAGTTTAATTGTTGTTCCTGTCCTGGGGGAAGAGTGGACCTTTGGTCTAACTCAGGGCAGGTTAAATAAAGAATTTGTCATTTGTCATTTATAAGCACAGATGATCATTCGTTGTTGCAACAATTAACATGTGACAGCTAAAACAAATTGTAGCGTTCTCATTGCCTCATCCTGTACTTCTGAAATCTTTAAAAATTCATACTAAAATAAACTCAGCCCGTTTTTTATAGATTTAGACTTCTGATATTCTCGGACAAACGTCAATTAAGTGGCCCTTAACCGTAATAATAGCCTACTACAGTATTTGATTTCATACACTAAAACTAAAATATATATTTCATCTTTATAAACAAGCACTTTTTGGTGTCAAACTTAGATTTTCTTGTTGGAACTTTGAGTTTACAATAAGTTTTTCTTTCAATTTGAATTGCTTGAAAGGTTTGCATATTCGACAGAAATCAGTAAATAACACGGTTAATTTTATCGGTGGCCAATACCATAACGTTCATTTTTTGACAGCTTTAACATGGAAATGTTACGTATACCTCTATAAATAGTCAAAGGTATTATCATTGACTATTGGATAAATAGTCAAAGGTATTATGTAGTGTGATGTTATTGTGGCACGGATTACTTTAAGAGTTTATTTATGTTTTAAGTAGCCTACTGCGCCGTTACTTATCCACCCCTTGTTTGCTGTGATCAAGTTTCACAACGTAGGACCTACACTTGCTATTACCAGTACTATACCAGAAAATATATCCCTTAGTATTTATTGATCGGACTCACTGTTGCATTGGTTGTCCTCCTCCTCGTAGCCGAATCTGCAGTAGCATCGCTTCTCGTTGGCCTTGACTGTACTGTTGACCACACACTCCGCCCCGTGGATACACTCGTGGTCGTAGTTACAGGGCTGGTGCAGTTCTGGAACACACCGACAACTCTACACCTTACAGTACTGTCATATAGTAATGCTTCGCTGTTCGGCTAGAAGCAATTCTACTTTAGACTAGCTGTAACCCACGGGCTTCACCCCGTTTGACTTCATAAGTATTAATAAAACTATTGATTGGTTAAGTTAAGCTGAAATAAACAGATAAGTAGGCCTACAGCTGAGGTATTTTTAACATTAGGTATATGGAAAGTTCCCTTTAGAAAGGAATTACGACCTTAAAAGGCAATTTATGAAATAATGGATAGTTTTGCGCAAGGTTTCTCGTCATTACGAATATTTTAAGTATATGGTTTATGGGGGTGTGACTTGTAGTTTTCTCAAAAGTTCATGGGTACTTTGGGCTTTATATATGGATAAGAACAAAATGTTCAATATTTTTGTGATCGACATTTCTTAAAGTTAAATTGATGTTTTTAAATTGATTGTGGGTTAATTACGAGTATTTTGAAATTGCATTATAAATACACGCAGTGATATTTTATAATGTAAAATTTTAAGGAATTGTTTAAAAAGTAGTAATTCATAAATTATATCCAAAAGTTAATATTAGGAATCAAAATCAGTGTTAGAAATAATTTGGAGATCTAAAAAGATGTGAAGGTTTATATTTACGAGAATCTATAATCAGATTGTATTACGACTTAGTTTTTTATTTCTTTTTAAGTAAACGTATCTAATTTAAATCCATGATTTAAAATCACTTATATTTATATCGGCAAGTCATATTACCAAAGGATATAAGAGTTTTACTTTTAAAACGAATTTTCGTTCTTTCCTGCAGTTTTCACTGTAGCCAAAAGTAGTTTGTTTAATTTTTTGACAAATTTATTAAATGTTAAAGTTATGAAAAAGTAGTTCTCCAATTATCACAGGCTTAAAAAGCTACTATTTTATCAAAAAAACGGAAGGTCATTTTTTAGAGTAAAATTGTTGTTTTCGAATTTGAAATAGTAATGTTAAGAATGTAAATGTACCTATGTTGATATTAGCATAGGGCTTGAAGAGCGGAGGTTTGGTGGTTAGGTCCGTCTGGCTTGGGTCAACCGGCCGAAATAATTCTCTCTCATCTAATGTAAAATAATACAGTACACAGTTATTGTTTTCACTATTCATTTAACACCTAAAATAAAATTACTTCACAATACCTCTTGTATCACAACTGATATCTTACTAATGTTTAAAAGTTAAAAGTCTAAACCATTACAAACCATTACAAATCAAAGTATTCAAGTTTATAGAATACACTTGGTGGTATTTTTGATGGTATTGTATGATATACTATTATAAATTTACCTAATTTAAACTACATGAATTGCCTACGAGTGAGGACAACTAAGTTGTTTACAGATTGTTCAAATCGTGCATTCTATTGATAGCCAACGTGAGACTGAAACTCATTTTTACTAACTAAATTATCAAGTTATACATTACTTAGGAAAATTTTGGTTTATAATTTTATTTCATTAATATCTATAAAATACGTGTATTTTAATTTACAACCAGTAAGCGTATTAGTTTGCATTTACTGGTTTAATTGTTAATTGCGTTGTTTTATGTGCCAACGTTAAGGCAATTTCGTTTGTTTAAGGCTGTCAAAACCTTAATATGGTGAAACCTCTCAAATCCTAAATACGGGGTTTACAATGATACACTTGTTTTGTAGCACATTTTAACTTACCTTGTAGATATCCAACCCTTCCACATTTAAAACCTTATACTTTGCATGATTTCATGTTTGTCAAACCTAACAATAGGTTTGCATATTTTAGGCTGTCTTGCTGTGTGGGCATTGTTTAAAAGTTAGACTTTGAAGCCATACAAAGTTTTCATCGCCGCAAGCGTTTAACGAAACTATAGTGAGATAAGAACAGGCTTCAGAAACATTTCATAATTAATGTGTGAATAATACGTAAAGTATGAACTTACCTTTCTGATTTTGATCTAACACTCGTGTATTCAAATTGACAAATAAATTTTGTTCACACCAAACAGTAATTAGTAGTTGATAGTTGATACACAAAATCAACAACATACTAACTATGTGGTTGATGAGCATTATTCGTAATACTTGTGATATTAATGCAACAACATCAATTGCACCACATTAGTTGCTGACACTGACAACATAGTTACATGACACAGACGGGACTGGCTATATAGTGCTGCTACTTACCCTGGTCTAAGTGTCGTGTTAGGTTTGTATTTCGTACCCTATGTCATATGACAGCCCCTTACTTTGTCTGTATATTTTACGATTGTCTGATTCACTGTTTGTTTGCAGTTATGTAAATATTAATATTTTTGTTTTGTTATATCGGTCAACCAACCTTTTGGTGGGCGTTTGTTCCCGATCAGGACATATCCACGAACATCTAAGGAAAAAAACTGTCTTAACATTTGTCATGTTTAGAGTAAATCGCCTAGGCATATTTACATGTTTTTGGCAAAAGGCGTAATTGTGGTTGATTTTTGGTCTCATGTATTCTGGTGTATTTGAATATTACTTTGTGTTGAATTGTGGTGAGAATTAGCATGCTTGAATTACATTCTACGCGTGCAATAATTTTAATCGTGCTTAGTGACAGGCAACTAAACAACACTAAAACTTACCTGCAGTATTTAGTAGGATCTGACGGTTAGGTATTTATTTTAAATTCTGGATATTTTATATATGTTTCATTTGTATTATTAAATAACCGTATCTTACTGTTCGAACAGTTAAGGAATAGCCAGTTATTAATTTTGTCATACATTTCTTGAACAATCTATGGATGCAAGTTGTTTACACACAAAATATGCTTTATAACTCTGAAACCCTTTTAACGAGACATATTGTTTATATTTTTAAGTTTAATCGAAGAAGCTGTTTACTATGCAAGATAAATTTGACCAGCAGGATACGTAGTTTTAAGGCTTATATTTTAAATGAATGTTTTATAGAAAGTACTGACTACAAAATTACATTTAATTAAGATATAAAAGAAATATTTTTATCATAAAATTAACACGCAAACTGTATTGGTCCTATGAGTTATGATAGGAGATTATGCATTTTTTTACATGATAATATTCCTTTTGATTTCCGCTACAATTTTCATAAACCGAAACCAAATGTTTATGATTAGGCTACCTTACAAAGGTTTATGAACAAAGGTTTATATTTACTGAACCGCTAAGTATTGCAACCATAAATGAGGGTTTCCCCTTGTACACTGTACTAAGTTAGTAGGCCTATGTATCCATGAACACGCGTATTCCTGCAGATAAATAGCAATTATTTTGATAATTTCCTCCTTATGGGCTAAAACCTCTCTGTCTCAGAACAACAACAGTCTTAATAATAAATATGGTATTACGGAAGCATTCGATCATCTTTCCCTTATTATAGCAATTTTGACTAGTCGTGTTATTGAAAATACAACGTGCACAAAACTAGGGTTTTTTCTCCAATATAACAAATTTTGATATAGAAATTTCAAAAATATATATGTCATTGCGAAATATAGAGGCATAATTCAAACAACCCTGTTTTTACCTATGTTTAAAGAACGGGATTTTCATTATTCCACGGCCCACACCTCGACACCTCGTTGCTTAGTCAATCTTAAAATTTTTCGAATATGAAGAATTTTAGTCTACTATACTTGTTTTCTTAGTTTTAGTAATGTAATACAAAATATAACACACTGTACACTTTTTTAAACATTTCTATTTAAAGTTTTAAAGACATATTTTTTAACTCTCAGATAAATATATCCAAAGTTCGACTTAAACCATGAATTTATTGTCTCAAGAGCCCTGAATTAAGTTTAGTACGAATATTCAAGTCAATACCAAGAACATCCAACACACAGCATACAGCGGAGTTCAGAGAGCGGCTTACAAGGGAGGGACGAATTCGCTTCCTTCCATTAAGATAATAATAATTACATCACAGCGAACTCAAAAGTAACTTTTTCTAAGATCAGTAGAAAACATTTCGTTTTGTTCAAGCCTTATTGAACCTTATTGAAGCCTTATTGATTAAACGAGCATTTCATAGTACCATGGTATCATTTAAAGTTGATCGTTTCGCAACTAATAGTTACCTACGGATTAATCATCATGGCACCATGGGAATCCCGATTTCGCCTAAAGGTTAACAGCTGTTGGACATGTCAAAAGCCAAAACCAATTAATGACCGGGGTAACTTCAAAGCCAAGTTGGAGTGTTTATTCTGTTTGCAAAACCACAGACAATACAGGAACTGTTTGGTTGGAGATTAACGATGTGAAATTTAACTCTTGCCTGTTAATAGGCAACCTAACTTTTAGAATTATCATGAGTAAGATAACCCATTAAGTCTTAACGAAATTGTAAACGTCGGGAGGAGTACATTGGGGGTTCATAGAGTCCTTGTTGGAGAAAATGAAACATTTGCTATGATAACTACCACTAACTAATCATTAAATGTTATTAAATGTTTATTTAAATAACCTTTTTATTTTATACAACTCACATTTTTTTACCTTTTTGGCAAAACAAATCTATTATTTTGCTATCATCTCATAAAAAGGTACAACAAATTATCTTAAGACCTTTATTAGTTTTGGTATACTATTTACTGATATTATTTTAGCAATAAAGTGTTGGATTCTATTCATTTGATGATAGACTAAGCCTCTAGACATTAATTGTAAAAATCCATACGAGCACAGATCATGGTGCATTTTTTAAATTAAAATAGTATCGGCTATCTTACAGATGAACATAACCAAATACTTAAATATAAAACTACTTTCTCAGAATTGATGTCGGGGTAAAATAAAATGAACCTAAATTTATATGTCACGTTCCATTATCACGAATTGACATTTCCTATTGAAAACTATTAAATTTTACTCAATAAAATATTTACAGACTGCTTTTATAATATAAAATATATATTAAAAGTATTCTGAAACATATAAATGAAGCGTTGTGAATACTCAACTGATCTATATACCTACACAAAAGACGTGTATAAGAAGAGAAGTACTTAAGAAATATAGAAAATACTAAAACAGTAGCAAAGACTTTGGGTAAAGGCAATACAAATAGAAAAGTATAATATAGCTATGTACAGCACATGTATAATTATCTCTCTTTGTTTACAAATGGAAACAATAAAGAATTAATGTAGAACAGTTCACATGTCGGGTATAGTTGAGTTCCTAACCTAATAATTTAGTGCTCACAGTACCATTTCACATGAATTGCTGAGCTTGAGACCCATGCAATATTGATCTGTATATAAGTACAAGGCACACGCATTCAACAATTCTCCTTATATTATACCAGGCAAGTCAGTCTTTTGTGCGTTGTGGAGGTTTATCACGAAATAGCGTTACCCTCCCTAAACAAATTCTAACTAGTTAATAAATTGATTGAAACATACTCAATACCACAGAATATAGAACCTAAAGGTATGTCCCTAAAGGTAGAAACTTTAGGTTCTATATTCTGTGCTCAATACCAAGGGACACCTCAATAGTTGGGCTAAAACTTATATTTAAGGCTCCGCTCTACTTTTGTTGTCGTAATGAGTGAGTCATATAGTTCGCTGGTTGAGATATATAATTTAAGGATTGGCTGGCAAAGAATGATTTGACTTTTTCCTATTTATATTTGTTGAACGGGATTGATTTAAGGTGTATTGAATAAAAATCTCTTTGGTTTAAATACCATCTAGGGTTATTCTCCTTTCGTATTTTGAGTTCCTTGATAATCAATCACAATTTTTACATGTTTAAAATAAACACACACCGCTTGATACATCCATTTTTGTAAATGAAAAACAATAGTTTTAAAGCGTTGAACAAACATAACGTCTAGAGAACTAAACCTGTCACACCATTCGAGCTTTGATGAATGTTTTAATTGTCAGAGAAAGTTTTAAGAAAAATATAATGGTTTTATAACATTGGTTATAAGTTAACAATTTGGTGTTCCGTATACAAAACACTTGCAACACCCTTGCATAATCCTTGCAACCTTCTTGCAAAACGCTTGCAAAACACTTGCAACAACCTTGCGAAACCCTTGCAAAACCCTTGCAACACCATTGAATAACCTTTGCAACACCATTGAATAACCTTTGCAAAACGCTTGCAAAACCCTAGCAAACCCCTTGTAAAACCCTTGAAACACCCTTCCAAAATCCTTGTAAAACCCTTGCAACATCCTTGCAAACCCCTTGCAAAACCGGTGCAACACCCTTGCAACTTCTTGTAAAACCCTTGCAAAACACTTGCAACACCCTTGCAAACCGCTTGCAAAATCCTTGGAACATCCTTGCAAAACCCTTGCAAAACCCTTGGAACACCCTTGCAAAACCCTTGCAACACCCTTGCAACTTCTTGCCAAACCCTTGCGCAGATTGGTAGAACAGAGCCTTAACAACAAAGTAAAATAATGTAAGGAATTACAGTGTTGCGTCTAGTCACATAATTAGTAAAATTTAATTTGTTTTACTAAGTAAAAAAAAAAACATCATAGGCATAGTAATATAATAAATCTTATGGGATGTATACAAAAATACGTCTAATAAAACTTGAAACACGAATTCCCACTTAGATTTTTTTCGTAAGGGCTATTTGCCAGTTGCCGTCTTTTGTGTGTATTTGCAATCTTGTTAAAAACCGTGAAAAATGTGTACTTTTGGTTTTGAAGTAAATGGGTAAGTTTGAATGTCATATAATGTTGGTTTATGCTGAATGGTTAATGTTGCCTTGATCCGTGAAGTGAACCTAGGTTTGTATCAACACCACTATCGTATTGACCTACTAGAGTATCTTCAAGGGTGACAAAAACATCAGTAATTCGACCAAGTTTGGAATGATCGTCTTTGTCACTTTTGAAAATCCTAGTCGTACATAGGATCCCTTAATGGGACAAAGTAACATAAAACACTGAGCTTTAAATTCAGTTGTTCATAGCCTATTTGTCTATGAAATTAGTATTTAATTAAAATTCGTATCCGCTTACATTTTAGATTTAGACTGAAACTTATTTCTGTCAAAAATGCTTGTAGCACTTGGGGAATGTGGAACTATGTAGTCGATGAAGTCAAAGCTTAGATCGTATGGAAAACTGATAAAGTATAAGGTCGACTCAAGTGTTAATATCGTGAGATAAAATGACAACTTATTGTTGTTAACTCTTTAAATAATTTAACAGACTTTTAACAAAAAGTACCATACAAAAAATTAATAAATTATATCCATTTGACAAAATTACTTAGAAACATCATGTTAACGTACAGCACAGATAAATTTAATACACAAGTTTTGCTTTAGTAGTTTAATATTTCAGTTTTATTATCGTTTGTTTATTTGGCTATGTGACTAATGTAGTGAGTGACCTTATAAGTATGTTGTAAGTGTTCTGCACCACGAGCTGTGTACAGGGTTGTGTGCTAGTGTGTGTATGTGACGTCACAACCCGGTCCACAGTACGTGTATGTGTGGTAGTGTGTAGGTACTGTGTGGAGTGTGGCATACCTCTCTTCTTGGTGGCGCACTCCCCGTTGGCTGGTGGCTGCAGGTCGTAACATAGACACCGCTTCTTGTTGTCAGTGTCCTTCTTGCAGGTGGTGAACTCCAGAGCGGCGCAGTCCTCCTCTACGCGGCACTCCTTTCCTCTGGGAGCTGCAACACACCTCTACCTCACACCTCACCCATCACATCCATCACATCCATCAAATCCATCAAATCCATCACATCCATCCCATCCATCACACGACTCGCGCCGTGCTGTGTCTTGTCGGAGTGTAAATGTCTTACGACAAACTGAGCTCCCGTCTAACGATGGTGTTTGAAATGTAAGGGTACAAACTCCTCTAAAATAGTGAATAGTGTTGTGTCGAAACCTGATAGTAATGTGATACTGGTTCTTGGAAAAGTAAAGATACAGAGAACTGATGTATATTCGATACCACTGATGATAACAGATAGCTACGCACCGAGGTTACCTTTTTGGTTTGTTTACTTAGATTGTGATGTGTCCAAACGGACACTCGAAACCACCGAACATTGATAAAGCGACTGCGAGGCAATATATATTTTTTTAGATGGTTTTACTTTTCCGAGTTCATTTTTCTCTTCTACCCGACCGATTTTCATGATTGAGGTCGCAAATTGGATGGATACACGCACAGATTTCACATCAAGCATCGGCATATATTTATCTACAGTTCCACTCAGCTTATACGCAAACGAAATTTACTCCCCATGCATTTCTTATAGGAGTTAAATTTTGTTTTTCTTTTTGGCTCTTCTGCATGACCGATTTTCATTATTGAGGTCTCAAATTGAAGGAATGCACGCACAGGTTTGCCATCAAGCATCGGCATATATTTATCTATAATCCCACTCGGCTCATACGTAAACGAAATTTGCTCCCCATGTATTTCTTATGGTAGTTAAATTTGGTTTTTCTTAGCCGAGTTCGTTTGGCTCTTCTACCCGACCGATTTTCGTGATTGCGGTCAAAAATTGAAGGTATGCCCGCACAGATTTAACATCAAGTATCAGCATATATTTATCTACTGTATTACTCTCAAAATAATCAGTAAATTATACGCTTTAAATTGACTTATTGATCGTTTGAATCAGGTAAGTTCAAGATACTGTGTTACTCAATCAAAAATCACAAATTTAATTATTTCTCTGATATTATACAGGGTTATTACAAATGATGTTCCTGATTTTGATTATAAATATTACTGGGTTAATTTGTTTCAAGACTATTTCAGTTGGTACCATCGGAAAGAAAAACTCATAAAGTTTCATTTACATTGGTTTGGGTGCATATCAGCTGTTTGTCAAGTCAATTGTTGTAAGTGTTGTGTAATGGTTGAATTTGAAGGCAGGAAAGCTTTTTGCCAGTTGGAATATTACATTAACCAATCTGTTATTAGTGTTCAACGACACTTTAGAACTAGGTTTAACGATGATCCTCCTAGTAACCACTATATTGGCAAGTGACCCTTGAAATTTAAGAGAAATGGCTGCATTTGAATGTTACTTGTAGTAGGGCTGAACTTCGAGCTCGGTGGTCGGAATAATGACACACCCCTGAACTGGCCTACAAGATCTCCGGACATCACCCCCTGTATTTTTTTCTTGTGGAGATACATCAAAGATAAGGCGTACACATTACCATTATCAGATAGCATACTTGAGATCCACCAACGGATTACCAATGCTATCGAAACAATAGATCAAGACACACTTTTCAAAGTCTAGCAAGAGCTTGACTACATTATTGACATCCGTCGTACCACAAGGGGTTCCCGTATCGAGCATTTACAGTTCTGTGTATCTGTGTCGAAACTTTTTGAGTTTTTCAAAAGTTGTAACCATTTTATTTCTTTGTATAGCAAATAAAACTATATTTTATGTATGTTTGAAATCATGAACATCATTTGTAATAACCCTGTATTTATTTCAACGCAGCCTTGCAGCATGGGTCCTCTTCCTCTAGTATCTAAGAAACAAATGTTTTTAACACGGCAATATCGTCCTCATTTCTCACGATCGTGGATTTCTTGTCCTATGCGATGTCATTAGACGAAAACGCTCGGCGGTTGGTGACAAATATAAATTTTGTCACGCAAATGTTTAAACATAATCGTTTACAACTTGTTTTAACAGAGTGAAAACTATTTTAATGCAGGTAATATTGAAACAAGTACCGAGAATCGATTTTGTTCAAGAACCGGTGTTGGTTCATGAATTTACAGTTGGTTAAGAGCCAACTGAGGCTGCTCTAGGGGTTTGGCCCTGTTGGGCCTTCGTGATTGTAGCTTTGATTGGTGCTCAGTATCCTATGTACCCTATATCAGTGTCCCATATCGTACCTTTGTAATTTATTAAAATCCAAAATATCACTTGACCTCACAAACGGACGATGTAGGGTTTGTTGTAAATTAGTAGACTGTAACTGAATAAAGGATAACAACGATGGTGTTGGTCATCTATCGTGGTTTTCAATCTATACTGACTTCTATCTTGCAATGCTGAACTCTGTTAAGTATTTATCAAAACATACATTTTTGTATAACAACTATAAATTATTAGGTGTCGTTGTTTGTATCTAAATTAGAACAAAGTAGTATGGACACTGACAGTGTATTTAGTGTATAAAAATATAAATAAATAAAATACAATCGTGTTGTACTTCTGATCAGATTTCACATCATTAGGCATTAAACAAAATGCAGTAGCCACATTTTAATATATCTTTGGAATTGCACTTTAATATTCATATTCCACGGACCACTTGAAAATTCAAATTGAAATGTGATTTATATTTATGTGTAACCATGCGTGACTCTGATATACAGTTTCTCCAAATTCGATGTAATCAACTGAAACCAATTTTATTCTGAAAGTTGTTTAAGAAATGTTTGAAAACATATATAAGAGAAACATGTTTTTATATAACGAGTAATTTTGTGCCATGTAATAAACGTGAAATATTTTGATTGGCATTACACAGAGCGCTTGTTCCACTTAGCGCATACATCTGCCACATTGCGTGCTGCATTGATTCGAAGCTCGCATATTTCATAGCGGGGTCTGACATGAAAGAAACCCTTTCTTTATAGATTGATGCGGGTAAACATGCTGACCGTTTAAACAGTCCACTCAAACAGCGCTGGGCAAACCACCTTATCTGACCACGGAGAAAATAAGTCTGGCCTTGGATTGTGTGCTTACAATAATTATAGGCCTGATGGGTTCCGCAGTAAGTTCATGAAAAACCTTACAAACCTGCAGAGGAAACTTTGAAACTGTCTATACGAAATAATATCTTAAGTAATAATATATGCAGTAGTAGTATGGTATTTAAAGTATGTTTGCTTAGCTGTGGTAGTATATTTTGCATACTACTTGAAACAACTTATGAGAAAAAGTAAACTGTTTATATATTGGTACAAAAGAGAAATGTGAAATATTATTTACTTGTGAAAAGGATCGTGCGATGATTAAACATAGACAACACATTTTTACCTTAACATGTTGTGAAGTTAAATTGTGTGTTTGTGAAAAATATGTTGTTAATTGAAGATTCTCAAACCATTGTTTGGTGCTTGTTGATGTGATTGTAACAGGTAAAGTGGAATTTAAGAAACTTAGTGAATTGTAACAGGTAAAGTGGAATCTGAGAAACTTAATAATTAATTGTGTGAATGTGAGAAAATTGTGAGAATGTAATAAATGTAGATTAGATAGTAAATACCTTGTTAGGTGGTAATTTGAAACATTGAATTAAGAACTTCCACTAGGTGTTTAGTAAAAGTAAGTAAGTAAGTTACTGATATTGCAGACTTTTAATGAATTAGTCTTAAAGACTTAACATCGTTGAAACCACGTTCAAAAAATAAACCAACGTTTTTTTATTCAAGATTACAAGTATTAGCAAACTTGGTATTATATTATTACTCTACTAAGTTTTCTTTACATTCTGTTACGAGAACAACAATTAACTTATATTGGTTATTGAGGTATTGCAATGTCATAATAATATATGAGTTCTACATCACATACAGGGTGATTAACTCAAGGTGGCCACCATAGGAATATCGAAAACGGTAAGAATTAGAGAAACCTTTAAATGGGGGACATTCCTTTATTTTTTGGTGGCAATTGAAAATATGAATTTAGTTTTTTTTTATTCAGCCACCATTTTCCAAAATGGTGGCCAACTTTTAAATTTCTTATGGAACACCCTATATTTGAGCCTATGAAAAAATGACTTCCGGTGTACATGTTGCATCATGTAGCTCCTAAAAAAGTAGTCTTAAAATTGTATCTACATTCCAAAAAGACCATAAAATACGTAAAAAATATTGATTCTATTATTTCAAAAATGTTAGCAAACTTCAAAAGTGGAAAACGGTCTATTTTTGGTATTTTATGGTCTTTTGGAATGTAGATACAATTTTAAGACTTATTTACATTTAGCATTTTCGCTATAACCTACTCGTTTAGGAGCTACATATGATGCAACATGTACACAGGAAGTCATTTTTTCATAGGCTGTAACTCCTAAACAAGTGGGTTTATGAAAAAAATGCCAAAAATAAAAAAAGTTTTTAAATTGCATGTTCTATCCAAAAACATGATCAAATATCAAAGTTGGTCACCATTTTGGGAAATGGCGGCTGAATTTAAAATAACTAAATTCATATTTTTAATTGCCATAAAAAAAAGGAATGTCCCCAATTTAAAGTTTTCTCTAATTCTTACCGTTTCCGATATCCCTATGGTGACCTCCTTGAGTTGATCACTCTGTATATTAGGAAATCTAAAACCACAACTAGAATAGTACTGATTTATTAAATTTTTTACCATCGTTGACTGTGTCACTTATTATGATTTTATATTTCCTTGAAGGGATGCACTGTATTTATAATTTGTATGCAAGTCGCTTGGTTTGCATTATCATCATATGAGTATTTGTATGGTAAATCTATTGAAAATCGCCCATTGAAATAAGTACTGTAATATTGCATTAGAAAATAAGTTTTATCGGTTTACTTGGGATTATTCAAGTCAATCTTTTAAATGCTTTTTTATACGGTTCTAATAGTTCACCTACAGTTTTGTATCTTTGAAATACTATTTTCCGTGTTTGCCGT